AAAAAGTACCACTTATAAGACATCAACAAACATCATCCTTTTGACACACTGCCCATAGCTATCATGACAATGTGGAATCGCTATTGCTAGCTACGAACTGCCAACAGAAATGAGCAGCACATCATTGCTCCATTGTGTGTTGACACTTTGATTTGGCACCCTATAACTCTTACAGATGTATAAGGAATTTTAGTGGACTTGTATCTTACATAGATACTTTTTCTCCATATATCATGTGTGTTTTAAACTATATAATGCGTATACATATGCACTTTACTGGAATCTAATTTTCCTTCAAGTCTCTCTTTTGGAAAAGGAGGAAATATCAAAGGGCTTGCTCCTTGTCAGACAGGATATACAATTTGACTTAATTCCGATTCATATAGCCTGACCAATTAAACATATTTTCTTACTTACTGTGTAAAATACATCTCTTGACACATTCTAAATTTTAAATTGTATATGAAGGCCTCGGTTGGATGTCAAGCTTTTTATGGAGATTGACAGGAATTAAATAATCAAGCACTTTGTAAGTGTGAAGACAGATAATTATCGTTGCTTGGATGGGATTACAGTCAAAATTTAAGAGAAACTGCAGAGAAAGACCGAAGGTTGCTTTGTTCAATTGCATGCAGAACTCTATCTTATTTTTTTGCGTTTAGTTTGTTGTCCTACGCACCTCCGATTAGCAAAAGAAGTTCAACATACATACAATTACAGACTGTTGAATGGCTCTATTGTGTGGTCTCAACGCAATGGAGGGTGAAATATAACATTGAGAACTACAGAACATTTGGAACTCGCAAGAGTTGTGTAGATATTACGTTTAAAGAAAATACTTGAATGCACGGATGTTTTGACTGGAAAAGTGGCTATTGATTTAATATGGTTTGCATGGTTTCTGTAAGGTAAGGTCATGTTTATCTAACCAATAACTTATTTCTATGAGAATGTCACGACGATGGCAGATTAAGGGGATCTCCTGGAAATTATTATTTATTGAGGCATTCAAAAAAGCACTTGACGTGACACCTTGCGGGAGCTTCACTGAGAAAACAATGGTGCCTGAGATGTACAGGGTCTGGCGGTGCATCTGATAGGTAATTGCTTAAATGTTCCAGAAGGCAAAGGCTTGTCACAAAAGGGGAAAAAGTATGGCCTCATGAATATTTTAAAGACATGTAGGCAGATAAAAGAGTCTCTTCCCGTACCAGGAGCCACCTTTATATCAAGAACAATGCATCTTCATTTCACGACAACTGTTAAAGCTGGGGACTTTTCTGATAATTAACTTTCGAATGCATTAAACAATTCACAGATATTTTACAGTGCTTACGTGCACTGTGAAAGTATACTTGAATCGTTGGTGTAATTAGATTTTTGTAGTACACTTAAGACTTAAAATATATGCTTGTTTTATAGCCTTTCTTAATTTGCAAAAAGGCTGAATACTGTTTTGGTGTCTACTATGAATAACGTTTCTTGCTTTAGCCTTGATGTCCCCAAGCCCATGTGCCAGAGATGTCAAGCTGTGCAGTATTAATTTCACATCAACTTGAAAGCTAGCATTTCCTTTCTTCTCGTTGTCCTGTATTGTTTTGAAACACGGTGGGATTTACAACGTCGGGTTTAAAGACCAGCAGTTCACACAGTAGTGCAAAGAGCATTAGTTTATGTGTAAATATATTATTGTGTTGCATTTCAAGTAGTGTGTTGAAGGATAATATTTACATTAATAAACTAAAAAACGTTCTCTCTACATAACATGGAAGTGACGATACTGTGTCACTTTACCCCTTTAAAGAATGTCTAAAGCTCACAGAGTTTTGCCAATTAATTAGTGGCAGCACATCTGCAGTAGAAATAAGCTAATTGTGGTCATACCACTCATCATCTCTGCAGTCTGATGCCACCAGAAGCCCCATTTTATACAAAGACCCTCTGCAGGGAGTGTATGAGCGTGCTCATTTAATACAATTCTGAATTGATCGACAGTCCCTCAAGCCAGTGGGGCAGCAAGAACCTTGACTTAATGATTTGGGTTGTGTCACTAATGCTGCCATTGCACGATTACTTAACTACTGATACCTGGAGACCACACACACGCACACGCAGCCCGTGCCCACACAGAATGTTGTCAAGGCCCGAAAATATAGAAGCTGCCCTAGCAGCGTGGGGTCCTTTACACATTGTGCGTGGACAGGGACGTGTCAGCTTGTGCCTCCTGGGTTTGTTTAAAAAAATTATATTTTAATAACGAGTAATTGCACCAAGTCACCTGTGCTTTCCGTCGGTGCAGAGTCAGCTCGTTGTGCATCAAGGTGTAAGCATTTTTATGATTAACGACATTTTAAGGACAACTTAAACTGGTAAGGTCAATGTGCAAACCGCGACCTTTTGTTCCATACGTTGTTCATTTAATGCCTTTATATCTTGCATTGTGAAAACTTCAGGTAATAATGCCACGTCAACTTAAGAGCTGTATTTTTTTTAAACTGAAATTAGCTTCAATGTATCTATTTATTGTTAGATTATTTTTTTACAGCTAATATCATGTATGCAGTGTGTGTGTGACATTTACTTGGGTTATGTGTGACTGTGTGATTATGTGAAGGGAGTGGTGGTGGCGGGATTTGCACTTTGGACTGAAATGCTAATGACATAAGTTCGAATCCCAGCCATTTATAACATCAGTGTCAAGTTATAGTTATAGGTTTCACCCTTTTAATTGCCACAAAAACTGACACCTTTATTCAAGGCATCATGTTTGCAATAACCACAACACAAGCAGTCAAAATGCAAACAAAAGAGACAACTCTGATAATAATATGCACTGTCCTTGAATTTGATTGTTCCACACCCGAGACGGCTTTTCTTAGAGCCTAGTCTCCACTGGTGTTGGACAAGAAGACGCCAAAAGGCGTACTTAGTGTCAAGTGTTGTATGACTATTTTCTAGTTCTACTCTAGGTCAACTTAGCCTTCAATTTGTGAATACTGTCATTGGAGAAATAAAAGACTTCCAGATGTGATGCTCTGGCCACATATCCTCATGTGTTGTGATAACCTTAATATAAATCTACTAAAAACACATTTTGCAACAATATCTAATGATAGTTTTGTCTATACTCTTTGTTTTTTTAGGTAAAGTCACGTAGGTATAAAAATACAACGAAAAAATATTAATCACGACGTTTCGATCGCAACACAAGCGGTCGTCGTCCTCAGGCGGAAAAAAAAATAATCCAGCAGTGGAACTTCTGAACCAGCGAGAGAGCTGTTACAACAATCCAGCACTCAATATGGAGTACTTCCTCCCTCACTAATAATCATGCGCAAGTGACGTCACTCCACATCGAACAGCCCCCTCATTAATAATCATGAGCAGGTGACGGCCTCCTAATGGACCTCCCTCCATTATTATTACCTACTATAATGAGCCAAGAATGTCTGTGCGCAACGCTCGTGACGTAACTCCACGTCGACTAGCCCCCCCCCCATTAATAAGCATTATAAGGTGACGTCCTCCAAATGGACACCCCTCCCCCCCCATTTATAATAATTAACGGCTGACGTCACTCCACATGGGGGGCGAGGCGCCTCCCCCCCCCCTCCTCGGCGTCAACTTACAACCCTCACTACAAAGGCAGAACCCTCACGTCACGCGATCTCCGTAACGCTGTTGAGACATCAAAGTAGAATGGACGTCATGATGAACAAGGGATTATAACCTTAAAATGAAATAAGTCTGTGTCACCGCGCCCTTACAAATTGCACACGCATTGATGCAATGAATATCACGTTGCGGTCTTATTTTCGCTTGCAAGTTTCAGATTTACTGCAATACACCTGTCCTTGGACGGGCAAAAGGCTAGTTTAAATATATTTAAAATTACGTACAGATATTTTCCAACCTTTTAAGCAGCCATAATTGTATTATTATTTTTTGTAGATAATCCAATTATGTATTTATAAACTTCTAGACTATCCTAAAACACACAAGTATTTTAAAACGATGTGAAATTTTCAATGTTTAATTTTTTTTTGGTCAGAACCCAATTTCGTTCAGATGTATTTTTTTTTAATACCTGTCATATTTTTTTAAGTTTCGGAAGGTGACGCACCTTTCTTCCAAACGACAGTTCTCATCTAAAACTACAAGTTGAGCCTCACCAAGAATCTACATTTCATTAATAGGTCTGCAGTGCAGGTAAAAGCCTCATTGCCATCTCTGTTTTGTCACACAGTTACCAAATTACACTTTAAAATATTCTTGGTGTGATAATGTGCAGTTATAATGTGTCAGAACCTATTAATGTAATTCCAGTTAGACTTATCCATTTCAAATGAGCTACTCTTCATAAAAATGGATACAGTAAACCAATAGTAAGGTGCAGATGAACATTACCACCTGGGTTTTTTGCGTGTGTACATTTATAATGGTTAGTGAGTCAGTCAACCCATGGCACTTGGGTCTATCCCGTGACCTCCTTTAAGCGAGCTTTCCACACTTCATGTGGCCTCAAATTGCACCTGACCTGGCACAGGCACCGTGGTGATGCCACCGCCACTTATTGATGAATGGCGCCTGTTATTTTAATGGTTAGTGCACTGCACTACAAACTCAGCAGTTGAGTTCAATTCCCACCCACAACCGATAACAGCATATATATGAACTTATTCTGGACCTCCTCTAGGTTGACTCAGCCTTTTAATTACTACTTAGTGTGGTGTTTAAACAACAGCATGGGGGAGACAAAGGTCAACAGGCATGGTGCTGGCCACCAACCCCCTCATGTGCTGTGCCAGCCTGAATAGGTACTCATTAACAGCACTTGCTCCGACAGTCTGTTCAGGCCACATGGCGGTTCTTTGATTTTTGTCTTGGTATGTATTTATAGAAGTCCTATATGGAAGAATATTCCTGACAATCTAATGGTCACATGGTCCCCGACTTACTGCTCATTTCTCCTGCCCCTCCCGCCCCCCTTGTCCATTCAGGTGCCCATTGAGCCAAGCCCCAATGAGCCGGAGAGCTTGCCTCGTGCCATGTCGCCGGGACTGCACTCTCTCACCGTTCAGTGACTGGACGCCGTGCCCCGACCCTTGCCGCCAGACTGGTCAGCTATGCAGGCGTACATGCCATTTTGTCTTTGTCTATGTGTGTGTGAGTAGGGATGTGTAGTGGAGCGGTGAGTTCAGTGGTTAGCACATTACACTACGAACACAATGCCCTGAGTTCGATTGCCACTCACTACCAACACCAGTGACAATTATATGAACTGGGCCTCCCCTAAATCGACTTAGCCTTAAATGAGTACCTGGTGCCATGTGCAAACATCACCACTGGGGATATAAAGGCGGTCGGGCATGGTGCTGGTCACCCACCCCTTCCTCTGCCTCGACTGCCTTCGTAGTGAGCACTTGTCCAAAAACGCCTGTTAAGGCTATACGGGGGATCTTTGTACGGTGTGTTTGTGTTGGGGGAGCGGTTGCGTCGTGGTTAGTGCACTGCACTATGAACCAGGTGACCTAAGTTTGATTCCCAGCCACGGCTAACATTGGTGATGTTAGTCGTTTCCACCAAATAACAAGAATAGCCTTTTTTTAACTCGGTAAAAATGCATGTGAATCCAAGATGGCTCCGGAGCCACAGGTTTCCGACCCCTGCCCGAGGTCAACCTAGCCTTAAGTAAGAAGTATCTGATGTGGCGTGTAAATATCTCCACTCGAATGTTAAAAATGGCCACACACCGTTCTGGCCACACCACCCATTGATGTGCCATGCCGACCATCAAAGGTGTCCGCTAAGAGTACTTGCACAAACAGTCTTTGTAGGCCCTCAGGGGATCATTGTCTTCGTATTGGTACATTTGGTACATTGGTCAGTTACCCCAGTTTGTTAAATTACGAAGCTCAAGTCTCTTCTTTGACCTCCAACGATCAGGACTTTGTCACATCATGTTGCCTCAAATTGCAAAGAGCTTGGCACCGGCTCTTTAGTGATATCACTCTAACTTAGTGGTGAATGGTGCCCTTTTTTTGTTTGAAGGCACAATTGGACACTTTTATCCAAAGTACATGTACAGTCCTTTATTAAGCCACTTGCGAATGACCTCCCATGCCATTCGATCGTGGGAGTTATTTGACCATTCATCACCACGCAGGTCAGTGCTGGTTGGAGAAAACGGGGAGCATAGACACAGGAGTGTAGAAGTAAAGTACAACAATGGATTTTTCTCACTTAACATAGTGGTGGAATATTTGTGTGTTTGTGGGGAGAAATGGCGTAGTTCTGAGCACACTGATTTCATCAGATAACGCAGCTTCGATTCCTGAAATTGGTGCACAACACCAAGAGCAACTAATATATGAACCTAGAACTTTGTCTTCACAAGGTCAACTCAGCCTAAAATAAGTAATATACCTGGTGTGATGAGTGAATGTAACCAGAAAGGAGGCAAAGACAGTTGGTAATGAGTGGTGCTGGATAAACTGCTTCATGTGCTCTGCTGACCATAATAATGGACATATTATAAGGGTCTTCCACATTTCGATTTAAAGCTTTCGTGACTGCAGGGATTCATATTCTTGGTTCTTTCGGTAAAGTCAACTGTCTATAGTTAAAAGGGGGGACTTAGTTTGTTCGAAGGACCCATCATAAAAGTGGTCTCTCTTATCAGAAAAACCTTTTAAAATGATGTCCAAATTGTCATCGATCATGGTTACCAAACACATCTATAAAATATACATTTATACAAGAAACTAAAGTTTCACACAGTGGACCTTCATAAGTTGACAGTATTTGGTAAGAGTAATGGTAGACGTTTGGACATTTATGAGGGGTTTTATCTACGGTGAGCCCTCAACTTTCTTAAAGATGCCCACCTGTGTGCAATATGTATTCCCCAATACCTGTGTCCTAAAGAGGAAAAAACACTTAACAGGCATTCATTTGGGCAAACGTCCTCCATAGGGGAGAAATAAAATAAGGGCTATTGCACAGTATCGCTTATCAATTATTTTTTCCTCTTTTTCTACAGTGTTGTTGGCGATTGTGTTTAGGTATTTTCATTTGTTCTTATGCCCCACTGCCAACGCAGCATCAAAATTTGTTTGTGTACAATACAGGTCTATTGAGAACATTATTATGACACTCGTGCCTCCAGTGAATATAATGTCCATTTAATTAATATATAGTGAGTCCAACTGAGTCGCAGACGTTATCTTGGGAGCAACACTATTTAGTATACAACAGCACGTAACATGACACGATCTACACTCGGGTCTCGAATGCCCATCTAACCATGCTACGGCAGAACTAGACATGGTTAGCTATCCCGGTCCGGACCACAAGCTGGGTCCCGGACCGCGTGGCTAGAGTCTTCTTCTCTCCGACGTGGATCTTCATAACACCAGCACACGAAGAACCTCGAGCTCCTCACAGGGCCCTCGTTATATACCCCCGGGCTGGGGCTGGCTCCGCCCTTCGCCCCGCCCACCTTCCAGGTCTGTCGAGCTCTTTCTCAAAGGTTCCTGAGAGCTCTTTTGGACCACGTGACCGCCCCGCGGCTCCGTCCACCAGTGGCCCCCCTCCAATATCATCCGGTCACGTGTCAGCAGGTCAACCAGCGTATCATGCCCCAACGTAACCCTGGCTGGCTGACGCTCCCTCTCGCTCCCTCACCGGGAGCCCACACTGCACACTGCTCGCGGTGCCTCCACGCTAACCAGAGCTCACCCAAGCCCCGCTAGGGCTGGTACTACACCCCGTAACCCGGGCTGCCCATAATGACAACACATTATCTGTCGTGGCTTCATAAGCTCCAGCACCATACAATGACAACCACAGTCACTACAAATATGAGTAATCTGGACAAAATTAGCAATGACTGATCTGGGAAAATAATCCCAACAACAAAGCCAAGTAGCACATGGCACATTCTCCATTAATGGGAAGCACGCCTTAGCCTTGTTCGTTTAAATATATAGTGCCATTATTTCATAAAGTTGAACTCTTTTATAGAATGTCTGCCATTGACCTCTAACTGCCAAAAGTCATTGGCCATGATGTGCATGATACTCTTAATGCCAGTGGCTGTTTTATCTGGGCATGAGCTCTTGTTGAAGCCTCAGCGTGGAATGTTGTATGCATGTACATGTCTTACGGTACACACGGGTGTTATATTTGGCAACTTTCCAGTTCATCAGGTAAACCTACAGGCTCATCTTCTGTGTGATCAAACTACTTGTGACCTTGTGCTATTTTGGATGTTAAGAGTCATGGTATTTCTGTGTTTCATTTGACCGGTGTTGTTGACATATATCCTTCTTTTCGTGACCGGTCACCCTCCCAGTTCTTGTATGAAAGAAATTAACAAAAAAACAGGAAGATGAAGGCTCTCTCAACACAGGCAATCGTCTTCAGGTGAGAGAGCTCTCTCACTTGAAGACGATTGCCTGTGTTGCGATCGAAACGTCGTGATCTATTATTTTATATCTTCGTGACTTTACCGAAAGACCCAAAGCGTATGCATTCCTGCAGTCACGAAAGCTTTAAATCGAGATTTATGGACATATTGTACGTTTTTACAGCAATGCAGGGGGTGCGTACAGTTGTATATATGTGTTTATTAATATCTATATACATACATGTATTATACACTAAGGCAATTTCGATAGAATGGAGGAGCCAAATACTGACTATGTTTCATCTTGCAATTAGCAGGTGCTGTATAATTTAATCATCACCGAGTTTGTATTCATGGCACGACGTGCACCAGCATTACTTTGCACGTGTATCTTTGCACAAGGTAAATACTCGCTCATTATAGCAATTATCCCTTATGTTATATTCCTGGCCATGGCTAATATCAGTGGTAAGTGATATTAACCGGTCCTGTACCTCCTTTCTTCACCGAATCCGCACTAATCACCATGGCATGGAGAGGTCTTCATCCAAAGGGCTATAAATGGTAATATCTTTGTTGCTATGAAAATAAGTTTTCACTCTTTCATATTAGTGATGCCACAAAAAAAGCACATTTCAGCCTCACATTCAATGCAATTGTTTATATATGTGGCATCTACGTGTGACCACATCTCATTATCATGTTAAGAACAAGTGAGATAGAAAAATCGGAAATTCCTGTATGCACACGGTCTGTGTGTATACATGTGTAGTGACATAGCGCTGACTGTTGTACAGCAGCTGCAACTGCAGATGGGCGCTTAGCGCACACACAGCTCAGCTGGCAGGCGGAGGAACTGGGGCAAGGGTCATGGTAGACCTCGTGGGGAAGCCCTTGGAACCCTCTGGAGGGTTCGAGAATGGAGGCGCGGCTCGGGCAGAGCCAAGCCCCTCCGAAGGGGATATAAGCAGCAGAGAGCGAGAGCTCCGGGCTGCCGTTTCTGGGATTGGACTCCTCGTCGCTGTCGTCGTCGCTGCCACCTTCGTCCGATCACTGCGCGGCCGGAGAGTAGTTGGCTGTCCCGGTCGACGCCGTCGGTGCAACGTGGATAGGGTCATGTCTGGGATGGGTCGTGTGGCAGCGTGGTCGTGAGAGAGAGGTTGCCCAAGTAGTGGCGAGAACTCAACAACAGTAAAAGGGGAGGATGGTGCCTTCTACGACTACCTCGTCTCCGACTGAGTGTGTGTGATGCACACCACCCGCACGCACACACAAGCCTCGGGCGTCGAGCAGAAGAGAACGAGCAGAAGAGACGCACACATGACATTACACATGTACAGTGAGGGAAAAAAGTATTTGATCCCCTGCTGATTTTGTACGTTTGCCCACTGACAAAGTAATGATCAGTCTATAATATTAATGATAGGTTTATTTGAACAGTGAGAGACAGAATAACAACAAAAAAATCCGGAAAAACGCATGTCAAAAATGTTATAAATTGATTGGCATTTTAATGAGGGAAATAAGTATTTGACCCCTCTGCAAAACATGACTTAGTACTTGGTGGCAAAACCCTTGTTGGCAATCAAAGAGGTCAGACGTTTCTTGTAGTTGGCCACCAGGTTTGCACACATCTCAGGAGGGATTTTGTCCCACTCCTCTTTGCAGATCTTCTCCAAGTCATTAAGGTTTCGAGGTTGACTTTTGGCAACTCGAACCTTCAGCTCCCTTCACATATTTTCTATGGGATTAAGGTCTGGAGACTGGCTAGGCCACTCCAGGACCTTAATGTGCTTCTTCTTGAGCCACTCCTTTGTTGCCTTGGCCGTGTGTTTTGGGTTATTGTCATGCTGGAATACCCATCCACGACCCATTTTCAATGCCCTGGCTGAGGGAAGGAGGTTCTCACCCAAGTTTTGACGGTACATGGCCCCGTCTATCGTCGCTTTGATGCGGTGAAGTTGTCCTGTCCCCTTAGCAGAAAAACACCCCCAAAGCATAATGTTTCCACCTCCATGTTTGACCGTGGGGATGGTGTTCTTGGGGTCATAGGCAGCATTCCTCCTCCTCCAAACACGACGAGTTGAGTTAATGCCAAAGAGCTCCATTTTGGTCTCATCTGATCACAACACTTTCACCCAGTTGTCCTCTGAATCATTTAGATGTTCATTGGCAAACTTCAGACGGGCATGTATATGTGCTTTCTTGAGCAGGGGGACCTTGCGGGCGCTGCAGGATTTCAGTCCTTCACGGCGTAGTCTGTTACCAATTGTGTTCTTGGTGACTATGGTCCCAGCTGCCTTGAAATCATTGACAAGATCCTCCCGTGTAGTTCTGGGCTGATTCCTCACCGTTCTCATGATCATTGCAACTCCACAAGGTGAGATCTTGCATGGAGCCCCAGGCCGAGGGAGATTGACAATTATTTTGTGTTTCTTCCATTTGCGAATAATCGCACCAACTGTTGTCACCTTCTCACCAAGCTGCTTGGCAATGGTCTTGTAGCCCATTCCAGCCTTGTGTAGGTCTACAATCTTGCCCCTGACATCCTTGGAGAGCTCTTTGGTCTTGGCCATGGTGGAGAGTTTGGAATCTGATTGATTGATTGCTTCTGTGGACATTTGTCTTTTATACAGGTAACAAACTGAAATTAGGAGCACTCCCTTTAAGAGTGTGCTCCTAATCTCAGCTCGTTACCTGTATAAAAGACACCTGGGAGCCAGACATATTTCTTATTGAGGGGGTCAAATACTTATTTCCCTCATTAAAATGCAAATCAATATATAACATTTTTGACATTGCGTTTTTCTGGATTTTGTTGTTGTTATTATGTCTCTCACTGTTCAAATAAACCTACCATTAAAATTATAGACTGATCATTTCTTTGTCAGTGGGCAAACGTACAAAATCAGCAGGGGATAAAATACTTTTTCCCTCACTGTATGGGTAAATTTGCCGCTGGCTGGCACCAACAGTATTAGAATCGGCTTTTGTTGAGACGACTCAAACAGAGAAACTGGCAGCAGGTGCCCTCCAGCAGGGCAGCAGGAGGCAAAGGAGTAGCATTCACAATGATAAATAGAGCACGAGGTGGACAAAACACAGCGTGTTGGCACAGTGGAGACCACATGTGGTGCCACCGCCAGTTCACTAGTCTGTTTACTCGTAACACATGGGTCGAACTGGAGACCTCCCATCAGCGATTCTTTGCAACTCCATGTGGCTTAAAGTGTATTTAGCCTGGCACAAGTGGGAGGCAGGGCTGCTACCACAATGCCAATACGCATTGGTCACACACTGAGGCCGGCATGGCTCCACTGGTTGGTGATTAATAATGCACTGCACATTTATTCTCATTGTCTATTTGCTCCAATGGCTCACACCAGTTGGAGGCCAGATTCCTGGCACTTGATATTTTAGAGTGTCTGCCAATTCATAAATTGTAAACTTTTTAAAATCATCATCAGCCATGTTCTATCCACTACATCAAATTCCACACCCCATGGTCCCGCGATGCCACAAATCATCTCGCTTCCTCACATGAGCCGACTCATCACTATCTCTGCGGTGGTCATGCCTCTCAAGTGCTATCGCTCCCCTGACTGCTATTGTCACCAGTCACTCCCGTTGGTCATCACCTCTTCCATTGATGTGTCTTGACAGTCAACAGGATGTCTTTAATTTGTGTTTGTTCTCTCGTCCATGTGTTCCCCTTTCTTGTCTTATGGTGTAATTTTCACATGCGCCTCTCCACGCATATTGGTGTACTTTTCAGCTTTATTTTTACTTTCTTCACGATCGTAGTGGATGTTTGAGATCAATATTAGATTGAATAGAGTCATCGTTTCAGTGTCACTCAAAACACACCGTCACATGCTGTGTTTTACTTGCCCTTCTAGGCAAACTGAATTTTCCGGTTCCTTCATGTTCGTCTTTGAATTCAACATTGATTGACAACCGTACCCTGCCAGGAAAATACATTTTAAGAAATATTTAGAAGTTAAAAGCCTTCCACACCCATTCGTAATGAAGGCTTTCAGTTTTTACCAATAAAGGTTATGTAACTTTATTTAAGATTTCTCTCATATTTCCATATGGTAACCCATACAGCACTTTCATAATTCATTTTAAAGTGAATTTCATTTTGAGATAGCATTCATAACTCCTTCGAAGTAAATTCAACTTTATTTAATGTTGTAGTTTGCATAATGCAATGTGTCATAAAATAAATGGTGTTAAATTAATTTCTGGACCTCCTGCATTTAACCTGTTCTTAAGTACAGTATTACATAATGTAGACAGGTCAAAGTCTGCGCGTGCATGAAAGAACAATGGGCAGTGCTCATCTCTGTTAGAGGCCCTCAGCTAAAGATGGAATTGGTACAGTTCTGTTGCAGAGGTCAGTCTCCGTATAAGACAAAGTGAGCAGCCCTGAGCCACTGGTAAAAATCCGACTCTTCTATAGCAAATACAAATACAGTCACCTAAAAAAGCTCTCATATGTAATCATTCATTTGCACAATCGCATGAATTATGCAATCAATTTTATAATCATATTATTTGCATTAGTCATATAATGAATGTTACTTAATTGAAATCAGTGTTGCAACAACGCAATTACCTGTTACGATCGTAATGTTTATGACTGCAATCAATTGGCAAAGTATTTCAAACAGTGTTTCATAATTACCCATGAGGTAATGCAAGGGAGTATAGCATAAATTAACATTGCTCCACATTCCACCATGTTCCACTAAGATGGGCAGAGGTGTCCATGTATTGAACTGTAGCCTTGAAGCCACAAGGTAATACAGCAGATGGTGTACACATGAGAGTTGCAGTGTTCACGACGTTGATCGTAATAATGGTAATGTTAAATTTTGATTTAAAGCTTTCGTGACTGCAGGGATTCATATTCTTGGTTCTTTCGGTAAAGTCACGTAGAAGGGAAACAATAAAATAATAAAAATATAAAACAATAAAATTATCACGACGTTTCGACTGTAACACGAGCAATCATCATCAGGTGTGAAAGCCACAGCAAGAAATTTTGAAAAAAGATGGCTTTTTTTTTACGTTAGCACCATGGAGAGCGATTTGGCAGTTATTCAGATGGCGAGTCCATCTATGTTCGGAAAAGAGGAGGGGGGAGACGAAAATAATGGATGCGGTCTGAAAGCCACCGTAAGCGTGAACAATCAATTAAGACCCGAAATGGTTGATCAAATCCTTCCAATGATTTCTAAGCCAGAATCTATCTTCTCGGTTAAAATTGCCTCTGTGTTTGTATATGTGGATAGCCTCATGAACGAATCTCTCATGGTAGCCAGATGGCTTGCAGAGAACCTCTGTCTTGGAGAAGTCAATGTCATGTGAGCCTACTGAATTATAACAGTGATCTGCCACGGCCGAGGTGTTGGTCCTACCGTGTTTTAGGTCTGCTTTGTGTTCACGGATGCGGTCCGAGACATGTCGTTTGGTTTCTCCAATGTAACTACTACCACAGAGGCAACTTAGTTTGTAGACGACAGGGTACTGTATGTCCGGAATCACATCTTTTTCAGACGGAACCAGATCACGGATTTTTTATGTGACTTTACCGAAAGAACCAAGAATATAATGGTAATGTTGCTCACGGCCATTCATGTTGGTCCTGTTGAAGACAATACTGGTGAAATATTTACATGAGATGATGATATTGGTAATGGTGATGATGATTATCATAATGTTATCTTGATGACGATGATGAAAGCGATAATGATGTCAGTAATGGTGATATTCTCAGTGGCAGTTTTTAATGTAATCGCCATTGGTAATGGCGATGGTGTTGCCAATGTTGTCTTTATATAGATGGTATTGATAATTATTCTAATGGCATTGATATTTATGTTACCACCGACTATGTTGAATCAAGCCTGTGTTCACACATGGCTTCTGTGCATTACAGACGGCGCCCCGACACCGCGACAGTGGCGCTTTCGTGTGGTGATCCAGCGTGCCAGTGGCGGAGGACGGCCCTGTCCCAAGAGTCTTAGCGACATGAGGCCTTGCCCCACACGGCCCTGCCCTCAATACAGGTAATGCACTTGAACTCTGCCTACCTACCAACAAAAGTTGATTATTTAATTGATATTTATCAACGATTGCTGAGCACATATTCAAAGGCCGAAATAGGCAAGCGACCACAGACAAACAGCACTATTGAAGGTTATCATAGATCAGAGTTAAATTAAATACATTTTTGCATAATTTTGGGTGGGGTGGGGGGTAGAAAATTTGCATGCACGATCAAGAGAGTGCAAGTTTTGGCAGGAGCAGAGCACAGGGTAGACCAACACATCCAAAGTCACGGGTGCACAGGTTCACCAACTGCATCAGTCGTGCCTCATGCTCTGTTAACTTTGGCTTTGCGCTCCTTCTCCACGAGTCTGTGGCTTAGAAAGGTTTTCCTGTATAGGTTGCATTTGATACACGTTTGATGATGTTAAACCCCCGTTGACTTTGCGAACATCCCAAAGCGGGACAATCCTAAAAAATGTCGGTTGGGCTTTCCTGGTACAATGGCAAATCTGCCTCGGTTCAGCATGCAGCCGGGCGACTCCCCCTCACAGGCACTGTACCCCACGGCCACTTGCGTCTCTCCGTGTTCGGGCGCGAGTGAGCAGGTGGCGCACGCACCGGTGGGGGCAATGCCACTTGCTGGCGTCCTCCTCTGCACGTGCGGCCGGAGCGAACCCTGGAGAATCACCCTGCGGCCAGGGCTTGCAGACCCGAGGTGAGGGCCGCAGCAGAGGTCTCGTTGTCCCGTTACCACATTTGCGTTTATTCTTAAGAAATTGTCTCAGTTTGAATGTCATCCACAAACGTATGCTCTGGTGATGCTATGACCAAAATAAACCTAAAAGGTAGATTTTCATCAAGTCTATAGTAGCTCAATGCATTTTAACAGAACGGTTCCAACGAATGCTGTGAAGTGACATTAAATACTCTTGCTTGAAGCTCTCCGATGTGTATTCAGGTTGTGCTGTGTGTGGTTCAGCATCAAGTCTGACGTTTCGGTCCATGTGCAGTACGTGGAGCTGAACATCGAAAGTCATGCAGAACAACAAATACGTCGGAGAGCTGTTGAGCACAGCCGGGAAACCCTACACAGTAACATTGTTCCCAAGAATAGTACATTAAGTACCAGTTGTCATCTTCCATTTCAAATAAATATGAAGTTCACATGGAATTATATTTCCTAGGTCACCACTGCAATAGATATTGTGCTAATCTGCTCTCTCAATGCCAGCTCATGTGCCAAGTAAACGTAAATCTGTGCTTGCGAACGACACCTGCTCCAACAGTCTACTGCATGAACATTAAGAGGTGCATTGTCTGAGAATGTCGAGAGGGTGGGATGTGAATGAAAATGAAATTGGGTGGAAGGAGGTACATGGGGAGAGAAATACCTGCAGGACTCTTGCCAGTTGCTGAGCCAAGTGAACAACTCCTCCCTCCCTGTGAGTGCCGCACAGAGAAGAGATAAGTAAACTTTATCCTAGTCCATAATTGCATGCAATTTAGACCAAAGTGTAATTGCATTGAGCTACATTAAGACACCCAGGGCAGTAGCAGCCATGAGTCGTCAAACGACAAGCGGCAGATGATAAATGGGTGGTTTTCGGTGTTTAAAAAATACTCAACATAACTGGTAATTTCAAAGTCCCCACAGGATGTTTGTTTTTGTATTAAACTGAAAGAAAATATTAAGCGTTTGAATGATCAAGTATGTGGTATCACTGCGAAGGTTTTTGTGGTGGTGCTTTGTCGTTCTTCGATGTGTTATCAGGTTGTACAGGATTGTTGTTCGGCATGATGTGTGATTTTTCATTCCACGTGCTGGTAGCTCCTTCAAGCCACCCGACATGTGGTAAAACAAACAAAAAACACGTCGGAGCACTGAGGTAAAGTGTAAGATTAATTTAATATAGTTCTTAAAAATTGTGGCAACCATGAAACGACCACGTGCCACCACGATTGGAGGCAAAGAGGATTATTCGAGACAGCTATTGAGGAGAGACGCCGCTGATTGCAGCGTGTGCGACCCCTGTGCCACCATCTATCACATGTTCATTACACGTATTGAAAGGCTGAACTGCTTACATTCATGCTCGAGGAATTTTTCCATCGCTAATGAAAGCAAGGGTCACGGGGAATCAACTTCATGACCTCATTTGCAGCGTAAAAGCTTTCACTCCGTTTATTGGAGGCAGCTCCTCGTGTTGAGTACGGACCGTGCGCTGGTCGGCAGGAGGGAGCAACTTCTGCTGGGATAGCAGTGGGATTGGGTTGAGAGGCGTGATCGGCAAAGTACAGGTCGGGGTGGGATGGTCGATACGACCCTAATTTTCCAGGCGTAGCTAGAGCATCAATGAGTTGGGCTTGATTGTTGATGCAGTAATCATGTGCGGCATAACGCAGCATTAGTCGACAATGGGAAATGGGGTGTCGCTAAGTCTGTGCGTGTGCACTGACGCACACGCACAAACACACATCGAGCAATATTCCAGTTTGAATGCACTGTTCATTCTGCCCCAATGGCCTGTGTCTTATATCATCATGTGCACCCAAATAAAGTCCATACAGAATTAATGAAATACCCAGTAGTTATTTACCAAGACTGTATTATATATAGATTTTGTGACATACACCACTATCTCTGCAAACCGCTTCGCTCTGGCACCGCAATTTCTGTGTATTTGTACAGCTCATATCGACACATTCGCTATCGAACATAAGGACCTAAGTGCATCGCAGTAGTGGCATATTCCCACCTGCAACAGCCTACCCATCCATGCAGCTCTATTATTGTCTATCGAAATTAAATGAACATACCAGCTGGTTACAGATGGCACTGAAACAGGAATGCTGTCATGTTTAAATACATATGTCCTGAGTAATTTCACATTTTCCTTTTATTACAGCATTATATGATGATTCAATCAACAGTACGATTTATTGAATTGCAAGCTGAGTGGCTTTTTTTGTTGTTTAATAGAATTTTAATTGCTTTAAATGGACACGTAAAAAAACAAGAAACATGGGTGGTATAACTTCAATTTAAAATTATATTACAAAAGGAAAATTGTCCCTAGGTTAGCTATGTATGAGCCTCCAAAGCTTTCATATTTGTCGAGCAAGAATTATATAGATGATATGAAATATAATCTTGAGAGCATCAAAGACAAATTTGATGTATTTATAATTTCATCTAAAAAATTGGGATACTGCGTTTTCATGCTGCAGACTTCATGGTACATGATAAAACACGAATATTAATAATTATCAAACATTACTTGCCATACCCATGGGTGGCTGGGAGCTATTATAATTTCTCGGTGATGGCTATGATGACATGGGGGTGGTGTTAGGTGTGTAATGCTACGCAATGATGTGTAGCTGAGGGGCTTTCGTCGAGTGTTTATGGTGGTGGTGATGTTGGGGGTGGTGTTAGGTGTATCTTGCCACGTCGAGGGCGAGGGACACGTGGACCCACGGGAGTGCCTGACCCGCGCTGCACCAATGCCCATGCTTGCCCAGCCGTGCCGAGTACCGTGCGCCTCAGACTGCGCGCTCAGTTCCTGGTCCCCATGGACTCATTGTCCATCACATCCGGGCTGCGGGGCTACACAGACAAGACGACGCTCACTCACCGGTAAATGTAAAGCGCGTTCGTACTTGACACTTGCATGTGCGAACACGCACACATGCGCGGCAATGAAGACCTCTCCATATCACTTGGTCACGGGGATTATTCGACCATACTTTTCCATGCTGTTCATTGTGGGTTGGTGTAGGGGGTGGTGGCCCAGGATTGGTTCAGATAACACCCACCACTGTTGTTCGCCATGGCCAGGAATAAAACTCAAGTAAACGGGTTATTGCCTAGTGCTCTAAGACTGCACCACCATTCCACATACGAATCAATTAATCATATATTCATCTGCACGCATACCGCTCTATATATTTCAGTTCCCCAGTAACACTGACAATGCACTTATAATCTTATAGCAGTGAATGTACTGGATTCGTCTGCGGCATCTTAATTTTCACAGTAATTGTTAATCTAGTGCACAATTAGTGCTGACAATTAGAGCAACCCACCTGAACATTGGGTTCATTGCTTTCGTGGTGAGTGTTGTAAGACTCATCACCATATGTTCAATTAGCACGTATGGCTATGTACGTTACGAAAGAAGTTGAACATACCTCCTATCCATGCCACCCACCTGCATTGTCATATTTTCACCATCAGAATAATAATCTTTATTTATCCTGGAGAAATCTGATGAGCGATAAAGCTCTTTTTCACAGGTGTCCAATAGATGTTCATCACACCGCGGCATCCTCTTCCCACGCAGGCAGGAGCAAGCGACGAGAAGAGTGCAAGGTCGCCCACACCTTCCCTCTCCTCGAGAGCCAACCATGCCCGTGCAACACGCACACGAGCCGCCCGACGGGGCCCTGGTCGGACTGCATCGTGACACTGGGGGAAGGGCGGCCCGGAGACGGCCCAGCGGTGGCCGGAGAACCTGAGTGCGGGAAGGGCGTGCGATTGCAAGCCGTATCTTGCTACGACCATGAAGAGCACTTGACTAGGCCTGAGATGTGCAACAGCCCCGGTCAGTCGAGTGCAGCGTAAGCCCCGGTCACCGGGTTCGGAGGAGCTTTGTTGGAAAACTCCAAATCTCGGTTCTGTTTTGGGTAGGGTTTCCGCCTTTCCTGGTTTTCCCAGGATTATCCTGTTTTTGAGGTTTTCTCATGACATTAATAGTCCCGATGTTTCTCCTACTTGATATCTGTGAAAAATAACTTCATAGCTCATCATATGCCTCTAATATAAAAAAATATTCTGATTCTGAAATATTCTGATTCTGTTTGTCAATCGTTTTAATTATACACAGTTGACAATGATACACATGTAATTCTACATATGTAATTCTACAATGATACACGTGAAATGGTCGGGGCGTTCAAGCAGTTGTGTACGTGCAGCCACATTGAGAAGTGGTGTGGACTTAGTGCAAAATTATGCAATCTGTGTGTTAATTAATTAACTTAAATGACTCAGTTTTATTTGCTCTAATACGTTTTGTGGACACGGCTCATTGCCTGCATACTCAGTTAATGTGTGGTCACGTTGAAATCTTCATGATGCGTGTGCAATGAGTTAAATCCGATGTTTAGCTTTCCTTCTGTACTGGCCATATCATCACTCAAATCGATATTCGTTTAGCAAAGAGACAAGCACATTGATTGCAGGTTTTTTTTTTATTATCTGCGTGTATTTACAGCAAGTTGCTGATTACTGAAACCCAAAAGAGAGTAAACATATGTATGAAGGGGGGGAGCTTAATTTTTATTTTTTAACAATTTAGCCTTTATTGCATATGTTCTTCCTAAATCGTGATCAGAATTGGGTTGCTATTTTGATATTTGCATAGGCGTTCACGGTTGTTCTGTATAGCTCTCTGATCACCTGTTCTTTAGTATGATGTCCGACATTTCACTCCACGTGATGGGAACTTTTTCCATTCCTTGAAATACACTGTAGAACTGACGAAGCCCGAAGGGACTGAAGTGGAGTTAAATGTCAGACGTCATGCCGAGCAGCACGTTTACAACCCGGAGACGTATTGGAGTAATTAAGTCTATATATTCAGTCCTGAGCCCATGGGAGGCCTCAAGCTGGCCCCATGTGGAACACGTGTAGAAGCTGAACATTCGCCTAAAAGAACGTGGTGAGATCGTTCAGCGGATATTGCCGTGTATCCACATGTGACCCAGGGTGGAGGGAAGAGGCCTGCGAGGTTGCCTGTCCTGTGGACTGCGCACTGGGTGAGTGGATCCCGTGGTCACCGTGCAGCAAGTCGTGCGGGGCGGGGATGAGCATGCGTTCCAGGAAGATCCAGGGGGGCCCCTCTCACGGAGGGCGACCGTGCCCGCCTCCCCATCACGCGCTGCAGGTGACGTTCGCTTTCAAACCCTTCTCACTCGCCCTCAATGCTTACACTCTGCAAATCCACACCTGTATAACCCAAGGTGCCAGCACTTTTTCCAGACATTAATTAACCTTTCCACATTTGCCTCCTATTCTCCATTAAAATGTCATTGCACATTGGACACATGTGATCATTGGTAATGAAGGAAACCTGTGCCATGGCACATGTGCAATGGAGTATTTTTAGAAGCTTCTATTGGCTTGTCTACCTTCTTTTCCACCAATGAAGGTGTTTGAATATATTTTGACAAGGGGGCTTGTTCATCTACGTGCCTGCCTGTCCTCTCCTGATAACAGTACTGGTTGATAAGTGTTTTCTAAATATAGTTCATTTTTTATTATGCACATTTTATTACATAAAACATGCATGACTATATTGTATTTTTCCCTTGGTAGTGGGATCTGTAATGTTATTGCTGTCAAATGTAATCTTGATTTGAAGCTTTCGTGACTGCAGGAATCGATACTCTTTGGTTCTTTTGGTAAAGTCACGTGGTAGGTAGAAAAAAGAGTATATCACGACGTTTTGATCGCAACAACAAGCGACCGTCTTCACCTGATTGGAATATTATTGAGAAATAGAATTAAAAAGAAAACATTTCACTGCTTTAATCCGTTGGGGGTATAAAAATGCCAACATGAGCCATTTGAAAGACAGCCTGATGTAAAAATGTAACCAATATCCATAACTTAGAGCAATGTATACATTTTAAAGCATAATAGCTTAATGCTATAATCAAAATATTCATATTATAAAAACGCAGCAGAATATGCACATTTGCTTGATTGATTTGTCAATGTTATTTGGCAAGGACCTTTATATTTCATGGGACCTCCTTTGCCATTACCAAAATATGATAATAGGTTTTTCCCATTTTTCTGGTCTAACACCGTTTGAGACGAGGCTCAAAAGAAAACTGTCTCTGGTGTGGACCAATCAGTTTCGAGGACAATGCATATATTATCAGTGTTTTTTGTTTGCATTCTGATCACGAGCATTGTGGTTAATGCAGACATGATTCCCTGTAAAAGGTTTCAGTTTGGTGTTTTAACATCTTAACACCTGTTTTGTTGCCAGAAAAAGGGGAAAAACCTACGACCTTTATATTTCACATACTACTATAATGAGCCAAAAATGTGTGTCCCACGTGATGTCATGCCACATGAGGCCCACCCCCCCGCGTAACGTCACTCCACATGAGGCCCACCCCCCTCATTAATATTCGTGAATGGGTGGATTTTTATACTAACGCAGAGGAAGGTCGAGCTGAATTAAATTATTTATTACGCAAAGTCACTTCAAATATGACGTTACTTTACAGAAAGTGACGGTAAAACATAAATCTAAGCAGCACAGTGCTTCATCCGTGCGTGACGTCACTGCAAAAGAGCCCCCCCCCCCTTAATTAATATTCATACCCGCGTGGAAATTTACACGAACAATCAAGAAGGTCGCGGACTCCACATGCCGCACCCCTCCCCTCTTTAATAATCATGAGCAGGTGACGTCACTCCACATGCCGCACCCCTCCATACCCATTAGCGGGTGACGTCACTACACATGAGGCAACCCCCCCTAATTAATAATCATGAGCTGAACAATTTTTCTATTGAATATTTCAGATGTACTGCAATATACACCCGTCCTTGGACGGGCAAAAAAGCTAGTATAGAATAACAACCTATATTACTTATATTTCGATTTAAAGCTTTCGTGACTGCAAGGATTCATCTTCTTTGGTTCTTTCGGTAAAGTCACGTAGAATGAGAATAAAATAATAAATTGATCAAATAAAATAACACAATAATATTCTCACGACGTTTCGGCCACAACACAAGCGGCCTTCATCAGGTGAAGGGGACGAGACTGTCTGGAGGACAGCGCTGGAGTGAGAAAGCCACGCTGAGATCACGACCTTTAAGCTGTGTGAGAAGAAACAAAGCGCCTTGCCAAAGGAATTAGCATAGAATTTAGCATTGAAATGGCTGAGTGATTATCTTGTGACTGGTCACAGAAAAGGCTATGTTAAAGTTAAAGCATACACATCCGCAAAGGCACCCCTTGACAAAGGAATTAGCATAGAATTTAGCATTGAAATAGCTGAGTGATTAGCTTGTAACTGGTCACAGAAATAGCTATGTTAAAGTCAGAGTATATACATTCACCGAGGCACCTAGTACAAATCAAACAGGAAAATGTAGCATTGAAATAACTAGGCGAATTTAGCATTGAAATAACTGAGTGATTAGCTTGTGACTGGTCACAGAAATGGCTATGTTGTAGTTAAGGCCTACACATCTGAGCTATTCACAGTAACTGGGTATACAATACAATATATAATGAATACTATATAGTGAACCAATAAAAAATACTAAAATATAAATTACCTCAATGTTATCAATAAACTCTATATTCTCCAATCAGCTAAGCTACCAACAATAAGTCGTTATATATCACAATGCTATATGGCGAAAAATGGGTGGATTCTTACCCTCAACTTTAGCAACACGGATAGCTACGGGTCCCGTTCAGACGGACGAGTTCATCCATAGTCGGAACAGAGGAGGGGGAGAGAGACAGCTGCGAGGCGCTGTTATCCTCCATGTTGTAAACCATACCATTAACCGTGGTGTGAGAGGTATTAAGAGTCAATGCCAGCGAAAGAGCTGCGGTCTGAAGGTCATCGTAAAATACAATTAATTAAGAACGGAAATGGTTTAAAACATCTTTCCAATGGTTACTAAGCCAGAATCCATCTTCCCGGTTGAAAATGTCTCTGTGCTTGTATATGTGAATGGCCTCATGAACGAATCTCTCATGGTAGCCGGTTGGTTTGCAAAGAACCTCCGTCTTGGAGAAGTCAATGTCATGTGAGCCCATTGAATTATAACAGTGATCTGTCACGGCAGAGGTGTTCGTTCTACCGTGTTTCAAGTCTGCTTTATGTTCGCGGATGCGGTCCGAGATATGTCGTTTGGTTTCTCCAATGTAGCTACTACCACAGAGGCACTTTAGTTTGTAAACGCCCGGGTACTGTATGTCTGGAACAGCATCTTTTACAGATGGAACTAGATCACGGATTTTATGTACTGTGTTGAATCGGACCTGGATCTTGTGTTTATTCAGGATTTTGGAGATCTTTTTAGTGACCCCTGCAATGTAGGGTAAGGTGATGGTTTTGAGTGGCTTCAGAAGAGGATCCTTCTTCATGACTGGAGTGATGGCTTTGCGGATTGTGTAGTCGGAGTAACCATTAGCCCTGAGAGCCTGGTGTACGTGCTTGAGTTCACTGGTAATATGTTCCTGGTCGGAAATGCATTGGGCTCTATGGTATAGAGTCTTGATGAGGGAGTTATTCTGGGATGGATGGTGGTGGGAATCCGGTTTCAAGTAAGCATCTGTATGGGTAGCTTTCCTGTAGACAGAGTGGCTCATTGAACCATCATGTCTCCTTTTAATTAAGACATCCAAAAAGGGTAGTTTGCCATCTTTTTCGACCTCCATGGTAAATCTGATGGCTGGGTGTATGGAATTGATGTGGTCGCGGAATTGGTCTAGAGCAGGCTGGCCATGTGGCCAGATGACAAAGGTGTCATCCACGTACCTCTTCCATAAGGTCGGGCGTAGAGTGGCAGTCTGGATGGCGTCAGTTTCAATTTTTTCCATGAATACGTTGACTACAACCGGAGATAGGGGGAGCCCATTGGGGTGCCCTCACTTTGTTTGTAGAAAGTTCCATTCCAGGTGAAGTATGTGTTGGTTAAGCAATGTCTCACCAGGGGGGGTACATCAGTGTGCAGTCCTTGATGAACCAGGTCTTCAATGATAGCGATGGTGTCAGGTACCGGGACTTTGGTGAACAAGGACACCACATCAAAACTGACAAGCAGGTCGTCTGGGGACAGGGAAATGCCTTTGATTGTCGATACCAGGTGAGTAGAATTTAGTACCGCAGAGGTGGTTTTTCCAGTGAAAGGTCGCAGTATATCAGCAAGAAAACGTGCCAGTTTATAGGTGGGGAGTTGATACTAGAGACGATGGGACGAAGGGGTGTATCTTCTTTGTGTATCTTTGGAAGGCCATATAATTTTGGTGGTCTGGCAGCAGAGGGTTTCAACGAGAACTATTACTTATGTTTTACATTGAATAAACTGTGTCATTTCATTATGTAATCAATGAAGTCGGTATTGAGGCAATGAAGCAACGTTTATAAAATAAAAACAATGTCAAAATATGCATATCTTTTAAAGGTAACTGACTCTTAAACACTATTTCATGGATGTTCTTGCTAGCTTGTAAAGTCACGTATTTTTTTTTAAATATATTTTCCGAATGAGAGGATACCAGAGCAACCACAGCAGACCCATATGTAAAAGAGGAGAGCACTCACTCAAACAAATAAAATGTGTGATCCTTCATTGGTAGTGGTGCACGAGCTGAAAATAACAATCTCAGCACATTCGTCGGAAGCACTGCTCTACAAGAAACAATACATACAAGGCAACATTTCAGGTTGTAGCCCTGAAAGACGATCTCTCAGCTATGAAGAGGATCATTGGCCAAAATATCGCATGTTGTATATTCACTCCCTTACAGATACATTAGAAACCCAGTTGCGGCACTACCTCTTCCAGGCTCCACAGTAATTACCCTGTTCCTGCAAGAGTGTTTTATCACACATCACACGCGGAATCTTGTAGAACCACAATAATCCACCGAGCGTCGAGAATTTCTGCTTTTATATCTTCTTCCAGAGTAGACCTTGCAGCACATGAAATATTTGCAAAACAATCACAGATTGGCATTGTCACTTATCAAATTTCATGTGTACATGTTCATCTTGTAATGAACTTTGATGACACTGCACACCAACTTGTCAATAGACGTTAAAGAGCTTTGCTCATGCACTAAAATTAACATGGAGGAATGCTGTTTTAAATAAACTCAATAAGAAAAGTTGTGAA